AAGCAGATGGGCCACTTTAGTAGAAGAGCACATGGTTGTCACGCCTGTTTGTTGACAACAGGAAACCGAGGCTACAATTGGACCACAGAAGACTGGTCTGAGGAGTCTGGACTTTTGCTGCCACATTTAGATTTTAGGGTGAGAATCTGGCATAAACAACATGGAAGCATGGATCCATCCAGTGTACCCATCTTCTGATGTATAGCACACCATGTCACAAAGCTCAAATCATCTTAAACATCTTTATTGAACATGACAGTGAGTTCCCTGCACTCAAATGGCCTCCGCAGTCAAAAAATCTCAGTGTGATAGAGCACCTCTGGGATGTGGTGGAACCGGAGAGTCACATCATTCATGTGCTGCAACCGTGTGATCCTGTCATGTCAGTATGGACTAAAATCCCTGAGGAATGTTTCCAGCACTTTGTTGAATCTGTCACCGTTTGGACAGTAAAGTCCAACCCAGTACTAGGAAAATGTATCTAATAATGTGACTAGTGACTGTATATGACTGAGAAGAAATCAAGGTTGTCTGCATCATCATTTCGGAAAGTCTCAGTTTTGTCTCGCCAGACTTGAATACAGACCTACAGATTTCAAATGAAAACTGAAGGCAGCATTTGCAAAAGTTGGAGTAGTGTGGATCTGAAATATATGTTAACTTGCTTTAAGATGAAAACGCATTGGAGTAGGGATGTGGCCATTTTTTAAGACAGCATTGTTCATCATGTGCTTCAGGCGATCCATCGGTTTTGGTACGCCTCATTCATGACAGTCAGCTGAGACTCGACAAGATTGAAGATCACACTGAGGACGAGTTGAGAAAAGTCCTGGACTGCTGTGGGGCAAACATCACCCCAGGTTCCACCAAGGTATGTGTGTGTGTGTGTGTCACACACATTTCCTACCATATAACTGGAACTGGAACTAAATTTACTACTTATGAAGCAAAATCTTCAAAAATCTGTTTTCTTGATCATTAATTTCCTTTGTTAATTCGTTCATTTTCTCATATTTGTGTGAGAGTTTGTATTAATAAAACCTTGCTTTCTGTCTCCATTTGAATGAATCAGAATGAGCTGCTGGCCTCTCTGATCTCCTTGTACGCAGTCGTTCATAGCGGCCTCTCCACTGCCCCACAACCCCCTGCACACCTCACTGCTGGCAAGCTGTCCAAAGTCTGCCCCCACAAGGTAAAAACAGCAGCCAGATGTTATCCAGATGTGTCAAAACAAATGAATTAAATGGATCAACTTGTATCACATCCATCCATCTGCAAGTGTCATTTGGCGCAAACACACCAAAGTATTTTAAAGAAGTAACAAACAAAAGTGATTTTACACACTTTAAAAAGTATAATTGTTTTCTCTGTGATGCCTGTGCCCAGGTCATGTGCGCTTCTAAGTACTTGGTGAAAGGAGAGACGGCTCGTGACCATGTTGATCTGCTGCTGTCATCTCGCTACTGGCCTCCAGTCTATGTTTGTGACAGTGCTCGTCAGGTGGCCCTTTGCGCTGACCTGCAGTACCCACAGCTGGCGAAACAAATGTGGGGCAGAAATCAAGGCTGCTTCTCTGACCCTTTTGAAAAACCAGTGGTGTGTGATTCTAGTGTTTAGTGTGATTGAAATAAGCTGTTATTATAGTAGTTTGCATTCAAAAGTTACGAGGTAAACACTCAGTGTGGTGCCTTCCTCAGACAAACTGTCCTTTGTCTTCTTTAGCTCGTGTCATGTCCGGAGCTCCAGGACCAGCTGTACAGTGCTGACCTGTCCTCAGGAGCAGAGAACCAGCAGGTCCACCCCATCACCAAGTCATCTTCCTGCTGGCTGGTTCATCCTCCACAGGAAACCCAGAAGCCTGCTGCTCCAGAACATCATTCTATGGTCGTCTGCAAAGATCTCGAGCCCTATGTTAGCCTGGTAGCTGAGATAGAGATGGAGAAGGGCGAGGAAGATGACAAGAGTGCTCCGGATAAAGAACAGTCAGATACACTGAAGAGTGACTCCACAGAAAGTTCTTCTAGCGTTCCTTCTGTGAGCCGTGCGCTGAAACAACCTATAGTTTTCAACAACACAGCTTATTATTACCTGTACAACCGTCTGGTGGATTTTCTCACTAGCAGAGACATCGTGAGCCAGCAGATCAGTCAAGTTGTAAAGGCCTGCCAGCCTGGAGAGGTCGTGATCAGGGATTCTCTGTATCGACTGGGAGTGGCGCAGATAAAAACGGATGGAGAGGAAGATGAAGGAAGTGGGGTGGAGGGACAGGCACAGGAGGAAGGAATAGAGACGTTTGAGGTTGTTCTGGATGAATAAGCTAATTTGGCTTAGAAAGCGAGATATGTGAGCAAGCAGGCAGGGAGGTGGACTGAATGTATAATGGCTGCAAAAATGTAGAAACATGTAAGTGCTACTAGTGATTGTAGTGATTGTAGGGTTAACCCTGACAATAGTAGTATTTTTAAGATGGTGATCTTGTATCAAGTTGTTGAAACAGTTTTAGAGATGTTTAAGTGTGAGAACAAGTAGATCAGATTGATGATAATGAAATGTCAAAGCTGTCCTTCTCAGTTGACTAAATGAATGTAACCTATGTATATATATGTTTTTTTTAGCAACAGGAAATAAAGATTGAAAAAAGAATAGAACATATATGTAATGTATGTAAGTAACCTTGAGTCCTGCTCATAAATCAGTGCTTTCCTCTGACTGAAAGAATGTAAGCAGGGTTTTATTCACTCAGCTACGACTTCAAACATGAAAGTAAATATTTAGCTTTGAATTATTTGGTATATTTATAACCCTTTGGCGTTCCTGCTTTACATTTTTACACTCTTACCTCTCAACTGCCACCCGCTGCCTTTTGGACTGATGTTTATTTTGGGAAGCGATTATAAAATGTTAATTGTAATATATGATAATGTGGTGATAGACCCTTGTTGGTAGTTTTTGCTTTAATTTGTGCCACACTGAATGAGTTGGGTTGACTCAAGTGAAGTAGCCAACCTTTAAAGAAACAGCTGCATAAAAGATATGTAATATATCTGTCTATGTGAAGTATTCGGGGGTTTTTTTTTTCATTTTTTCTGGTGTTGATAAAGATAACGTAGACTTTGCCTGGCAGTTAAAATGAACAATGGATGAACAGAATCTCTGTGGAAGTATTGGGGCTGCAGAGTTGTTAGTAGGGACACCTGTTGATCAAGTGGCACCGAAGCAGCCGTGTATAGTGGTAATATGCAAAAGTAGTCTGTAAATTAAACTGCTTCTGTCACAAATAAATATAAAGAAATTAATGGCTTTGCAGCTTTATTTAAATGTATAAATAACATGTGTATAAACTAATAAACTTAGACTTGACAACAGGAAATCTGAAACTTTGTAACGGTTTAATGTCTGCTACTGTAAATCTGTTGTCTGTGAAGTTTCCTTACTCAGTTCTACATCAAAGCCACCCACAAGCAACACTGACATTCAGAATTACAAGTAGTCATCACATGAAAGAGGCTGCAAACATCAGGATGGTTTTTGAAGTCCCACAAAGGTAAAAGAAGTGAAACAGCTCCAGGATATAGTTTCTGACATCATTCATTACTTGAGGAAATGAAGAGAGGTTCGCAAGTAACCAAATTACTAATTAAGTTATTAATTCAGTCAATGTTGGGTGTACTTTGGCGATTAATGAATTAATATATAATTATGATTAATTATTATAGAATTAGATAATTAGATTAGAATAGAATAGATGTGATGGGGAAAAAAGTTTCTGTTGTTTTTTGCAACACAGTGGATTTTTAATGAAATAATAAGTATACAATTAGCATTCAGCTTTAATTGAAGGGGTTTACAAAAGTTGTGAATTTACTTGAAAATCCTTTGTAGTGAATAACTACCTTAAGTCTAGAATCCATGGACATCAACAAATTCTGTCTTCTACCTTGAGATGATTTGCCTTCAGTAACTGAATAGATGCTCTGTACTAACCCAAACGTTACAACAATTCTGTCACTAATTAGCTAACCTAAACTAATGTATTAGCTGCAACAACCAACCGACCATCCCAGTGACAATGTTCTGTACGGGCATAAGGAGGCGCTACACATGCTCTCAAATCTTACACTTTAACCACTTAAGCATTTCTTCAATCCAGTGTCACAGACAGTGTTAAAACTATTTCAGTTTTTGAGAGCAGCGCTCCACAATGTGTGTTAGCGTTGATATGTGTAGTGTTTCATGTTCTCTTTAACATTGGAAAAAGAAGTGCAAGTTCAACCATATATATTTTTTTCTGCATGATAAAGAAATGCTGCTGAAGTAAATTAACTGCATCTGCATGACTCTTTGGAGTTAAATTGTAAGAAATAAATGTATAAAATTACAGAAAAAACTTGTGCTAGCTTATTTTCAAGAATGCCCAGTAACTATAAAATTGAAAGATTTTGTTAATTCACAGATAATGTGAATAAATTTTTTATTATTATTATGGATTCATTAAAAAACACACATTTTGGTAGATTTTTGGGGAAAAAAATGAACTTTTTTGTGATTTCCTTTTTTATCTATTACAAAATTACTTTAATGTAATATGAGGAAGTTTGAGGAAGCCATGAGGAAGTTTTTTTTAAAATAAATATCCAAAGCTGTGTAAGATATTACATACAAAATTTGCATTAATTTAATTAATGAATTAATTAATTTATTTATTTATTTTTTAGCAGCAAGGTGCTGATGATCAGATGCACCTGATTCACCTCATTAGCATTAGTGTGAGCACTTCTATAAAAGTATTGGCTTGGTTGACACATTCAAGTGTTAACGCAATGTCATTAAGGACATCAGGCTTTATACTTCAGCAATGATGTTAAAGGAGCAGCTGTTGCTGTTCATCAGAGAATGATTATAATTGTAATCTGGGACCAATTTGAAGTTCATCATTCTACAGTGAGAAAGATTATGAAAAAAAAGAAGCTTTAAAACAGTTGGCAGTATTCCCAAGAGTCAATTCACCCCAAGGTCAGAGAAACTGCAAGAATAAAAAGTGTGACATGTCAAACTCTACAGGCACAGTTAACACATTAGACGTTAAAGTTCATGAAAGTGCAATTAAAAAATGAACGAACAAATATATCTCGACCTTAAACTTTTTTAAGTATAGTGTATGTTGGTGTAAAACCTCTATTTCCACTCATAATTGCAGAGCTTGAAAACAATGTGACTTCTTCTGACTCAGGACTGTTCTTCCTTTAGTTAGATGTTGTGAAGCTCTTTTTCTTAACCATGGAAATAATTCTATCTTCATGCACTTGAGTTGTCCTCTGAGGTCTTTCAGGCCTGTTGGTGTTGCTGAGCTGGTCATTGCAATCATTCCTTTTAACAATGCACAACCTGTTGCTTCGGACACTCCTAAACCTTTTACTCTTTCTCTTCATTTTTTTCCCAGTATAATGATGTCGTTCTTGACACTGAGATCTCTTTGAGTATCACATTTAAAATTACAATGAAAAACTATAAAATACAAATCTGACACTTGAAATCAACACATATTAAGTCTGCTTCATTTTTTTTTTTAAAATAACACCCTGTTAATAAATTGTCCAGTTAATTCTGAGAAAATGGGTGACTGTGTAGAAAAATTGCCGCAATTTCTTCCAGCAAATTATGAACCTCATTATGCGCATGAACTTCCTGTTGTAATCCAGGCATGAAGAGAAGCATCTATGAAGTCCCAGCAAATGTTTAATAGCTAAAATGTAAACAGAAGTACTGTTATTTACTCCACGACAAAATAATTTCGATGTTTTTCATGAGAAATAAGATTCAAATCTGAAGCAGCTTCTTGATAAAACATTTATATTCATTTAAAATAAGGTAGGAACAATTTGAGTGGACAAAACAGATACTTTACAGTTTATCATATGTTTCAAGCCACAGTAAGAACGCACGTCACATATATGAGAGTAGATTCTTTTAAAGTTTTACACACAGCAGCTGACAAAAAGAGTACAACCCAGTGACGATAGTGACGATGATCATGCTTTGCTCAAAATCAGTAATATCTCAGCTTCTTGATAGAGCAAATTTCAGCACCTGATAAAGTAGAGCAAGATAGTTCCTGAAAAGTGTCTGAAACTGATAGAGAATGAAATAGGTTTCTAACTGAACCCACACGGAGAAGGAAAAGAGTCCAGACTGACATAGAAACTGAAGCCGGATTATTACTTCCCTATAAAGATTTTAGAGTTGCGCAATTGTTGACAGACACTGTGGGAAATGTGGACTGGATGTTATCCAATAAAAACAGGAAGCGAGGAGAGAAGAACACGAAGGAAACAGTTTCTGTCGGCACAGTTAGGAACAACAAAGAAAAAAAATGGTGTGAAATACAACATTTCAGTTGGATAATATAAAACTTTACATTGAAACACAGAGTTTCGGTGATAAATCTTTTAATGAACGCCTCTGCAGTTTTGCAACAACTTAATTTGCAGCTTTTTTGTTGATTGTCTCATTTGCACAAAAGAGAAAAAACGAGACATAACACATCTATGAAATATTCATGTATCTCTTCTCAGTGAAAATAAAGATCATTCTTGATTCATGTGTTATATGTACATTATTCGACATCTCACTTCTGTTTCATTCAGATGCAAGCACATTTAAAGTAGCCAAAGTCACAGAAATTGGCAGTCTCTGTCTCTTGTATAGCTTATATATATATATATTTATATGATCATATAATCTTCATACATTTGGCAGTGTAGGCTGACTGCTACATACACATGTGCATGAAACTTATCATCTAACGCTACAGGAAAGTACAAGATTCAGCTGCACCCTGCTAACCCCTCAACCCCAAACATCAAACATTGTTCTTCTGCTCCATAAGACATCTACCGATTTCCCTGCTCAGCTCAGTCGTACTCCTTGTTCTAAAATCACGCTGACTAATTAGATTGAAGTGGATCAATCACATGCTGCAACCCACTGACAGCTACTGCAAGTGTGTCACAAGAAATACAGCTGTGACCAAAGCCCAGCGAGGAAAACACTGCACTCATTATCTGCCTCCTCTTTGGCTCCTTTAGCATGTTTTTACCAAGGGAAAAACTTGAGCGCTTTATATTTTTTGATTATAATTAATGTAACACAAGTTGTCTGGAGAGAAGAAAGGCTCTCATTGTTTTAATTCAGTGTTTCTGACTGTTGTACCCCCAAAATAATAATAATAATAAACATGGTGTGCAATAGATAATTAAGAGCACACTCGCAAGAATAAAACAAAAAAATCAGGTGGATTCTTGCTTGGAAAAACGGACAGATATGACCTCAAATAGAGAACAGAAGAAGGGCTAATAAACAGTCTGCCACAGAGCAATCTTTAGAATAAACTACCCTTTGATACCTTGTGGGACTTGTTGACATTGTTTCCTCCTTTCATTTTAGACGTGGCAATTTCTAGTCATGGATCGCATGCAAAAGAGGCAGGTCACATGCTTGCCGCAGCTGCTCGTCTGTCTGGAGAGCAGGCACGACAGGCGAAAAATAGCTGATAAGACGACTCTCCGGCGATTGGAACAAGCTGCAAACTAGAGATCATGCCAGTTTTCTGATCCTTGTTGAAGAGTGATTGGTTTGCTGATTGATTTGAGCGTAAGGCCTTTCAACAAAACTGGTAGTTGTTGGTCTTCATCAGAGGCTGCTCTTCTTCTTGGTGGTCACAAGACTGGTCACAGGGGCTGTCGAAGCACTCGTCACCCCCTTCACCCTCCGTGACCTTCTCCTGCACGTTCTGGTACATTAACTGCGGAAGAGGTATCATCAAGATTGTGAGAGTTATACAAAACATGATTACAGAGTTGATATTTTAGACTGACATAAATAGTGGTATTGTGAGTATCTTCAGTTGGAACAACACCCAAACAGACATTATCGCAAAGAATCTAAATCGTGTAATTGGTCTGACTTCACAACTAAATTTGCTGTCTCTTAACCTCTTAAGCCCCAAGCCTACCTGATCTCCTGCCTTTTGCCCCCGTATCAGGGGGCGTTGGGGCTTAAGAGGTTAAGGAGCATTAAATTAAAAGAAACAGGGTTTCCCGAGGTCATCTTGGCCGGGGCTGCCACATGTTTTTCTCCCTGGGTGCTTTTGATGAGGACACATCAGGACCACACTGCACATGCAGACTAACTCACCTGTCCCTGCTCAGGTTGGTCCCCAAGTAGCCTTTGTATCATGTGACAGATTTTGCTGAAGGTGGGACGCTCTGTCGGCTCCAGATTCCAGCACATCTTCATG